CAAGGCAATGCTACAATCTTCGAATCATCAAAATCAAGATAGAGATTTTTATTGCAGACGTTTTTTCCTTTTATGTAATCTTAATTCGACTTGAAAGTTGTTTATATCAAATAATTTGGTAGAAATTACTATAAAAAAGTTTTAAATTTATTTATACGTATAGTTGCTATAAAAATGCACCTATAAAGGGTATCATAGCTACGAAACCGAAGTTAAGGATGTTTCTTATTTTTTTGTTTATATATATAAACATTTTCCACTTATTTACTGATAAAATCTAAATATTTAATATTTTCAAAATCAATCAATGGACAAAACACTCACGTTGATTTCAAAGAGTTATATAAAAATGTATTTGTTTTTTACCATTAAGTCATAACAATTTCTAATATTGTACACTATTTAGTTACCTAATCCACCAACTTCAATTTGCTATCAATTACAATTTTTTATAAATAATCCATATAATTCAAGGACTTGAAAATGTTGAATAGTCATTCAATGGCAGCATTTATAGTAAGCCGTTGCAATGAAGCAATACAAAAATAGAAAGGCTTTGAATGAAAAGCGCTGTTCAAGTGCAACTATGCGATTTGAACTTTATAATTCACTAAATTGTTAGTTTTTAAAACGTGTGCATAAAAAAATGTATATAATTTTTTTTATTTGTGTAAATTTTTTGCGCTGCACTCAGAATGGCAATTCATCAAATTGCTTTCAGCAATGAAAATGCACTGCAATGTTATTGCGAAAAAGCGGAGATAATAATGGTAAGAGTAAAATGGAAAATACAGCGAGTGTAGAGTAATATGCGCATTGTATGTGCAAGTGGAAAAATAGAATTAAAAATATTTATATAAAAATAAAATCGTGATATGAATTTGAAGTAGAGTTTTTAGCGAAAAAAAAAAATTCTAAAAAATATATTTCGTTTTACTACTCGCGCAAATTTTTTTTGAAATTTTTAAACTCGGACCACAATGCAAGCCACCAGTTACCAGTTACAGGAAATGTAGACTTCAAAGCCTATGGCTGACTTTATACCGAAAATATCGTTCAATATATATGATATATTATATAATTGAAATTTCTGATAATAATATACCCTAGTGTCAAAAATTAGTAAACTCGGTTGAATACTTTTCCTAGCAACCATATACCTAATATAAATATTTTCGAACTTTCGATTAATTTTATACCATATATAATAATTGCTCAATAAGTGAGGTATCTTAATTAAAATCAGAAAGCATTTATTTTTGTTAATGGTATCAAAACTGGATACATCGAGTCAATACTACCTCCATTAATATAATGTTATAATTCCAAACTTTAGGTTGGCTTTATACCGTTTATGTATAACGATAATTTGTAAGATATCTTAGCGAAATTAAGCGAACGTTTAATCAAGAGAGTATAAAACATTTGGCTACACCCGATCTTAGCCCTACGATACTTGTGTCATATAATATTATATTTATACCCTGCACAGGGTATATTAAGTTTGCGACGAAGTTTGTAATATGTTACCCAGTAGGAAGCGTCGGAGACCTTATAAAATTTATACATAAATGAACAGCATGATGAGCTGATTTGATTTAGATATGTCCGTTTGTCTGTTTGTCTGTCGGTATATGCGCAAACTGGTTCCACTAGTCTTTGGGATATCAATCTAAAATTTTTCATAAGTCTTCAAAAAGCTTTGCGTTTGTCAAAACCGCATATATTGTACTTCAATAGCATACAAGTATAGCTGACATTCAAACTGAACGATCGGAATCAAATCCTTGTATGGGGAGCGTTTTTCTCTGAACGAAAATTGGTAAGATTTATTGTCCAAAGCAACGGTACAACCTCCGGTGAAATTGTTAAGATCGAACCACTATATCACATAGCTGCCATATAAACTGACCTATCGGAATCAACAGCTTGTATGGAAAACTTTTTATTTGTGAGTATTATAGCTTTGGTGCAGCCGAAGTTAACGTTTCTTATTTTTTTGTTTTATATGTTAGTTCACAATATAGATAATAAATAAAAAATATAATTTCTAAAAAATATCGAATTGCATTTCACTGTTGCGTGCGCGCACTGTCAGCAAGAATGCTTTGCTGTCTATATTTATCATTTTTTCCATTAAAAAAAAAACTGTTTTTTGTTTTTGTAAGCGCTGTAATCTAAAACAAAAAAAATTTAGATTTCTTTTTATTATTTGTTGATTTCGAAATGCATTAATGCGAATTGTTAGTTCACAGTTCAGTGCGCACTCAACTGCCGCATCTAATACAGCAACTTTTTTCAGGAGTTGTTTTTAAATTTTTCACTTTTTATAAATTTTAATTTTTTTTACACCAAAGCTACTTTTTCACAGCACGAATTTACGTGCAAAATCAAGTGCTGCATTTATAAATTTTTAAAATTAAATTTAGAAAGCTTCATAAAATATGAGTACCCGAAAAAAAATAGCCATTTAGCAAGTCAACAGCCAGCTAACTGTGAGTTGTAACAAAAACTTCTATTAATCCACTATACAATTGCTAAAATGCAATAAATATTTATCTCACTGCAGCCATTATTCGACGTTTAAAATTATTTTTTTTTTTAATATTTATTTTTTGAGAAAAAGTGCTTGTTTTGAGCTCAACAGTTTAGCCAAAGTAATGTTTGGTATTTAGCAAAATTTTAAAATGCAATTTTGCACTCATGTTCACTTAAGTCCACTCTCTAATCGGTGTGTTTATAACACACAAGCACTCACGAATAGTTTGTATTAGTATTAGCTTTATCTTTGTCTGCCAAGCCTCACTAATTGCGCTCTGCAGTATACTGAAGGGTGGCCAAATTTTTTGTATACTTATGCTCATTCACTTCGAATAACTGACGCGAATTTATTTAATAAATTTTTATACGCGTATTGTGACTCAATTGGCTATTGGTGAATTACATATTAGAGCAGCTAACTTATGATAAACCATGTGTGAGTCACTAAATTTCATTAGTCAGGTATTTAAGAGGGCTATAAAGGTCCGAATTTCGAGCTATTTTTGGCAATTGATAAAAAATATTTGAAATTTTTGCTAACAATTTTCTTACCATTTTTTTATTCATACCGATCAATTTGTAAGATATTTTTCAAGATATTTCAAGAGACACAAAATATAAAAAAAATCATAAAGCATAGCAGTCGCTATAGTGAGTCGTTAGTAATATATTTACTTCTAGGGTTCATTTCCACGAATTTGGGGCTTACGTAACCAGCATAGAGCCAGTTTCATCCGAACGAAAACTATCATTTCGGCAGCATTTCCAAAATAGTATAATTGAAAAATATAATTTCCCGCTGCATCGACAGCGACAGCATGAAATAACCCGTATTTCGATTAACATCAAAAAATATAATTTTTCAGCACTAGTCGTCCCCGGTTAATTTTTAAAACTGTCAAAATGTATTTTTGTTATTGCAATAAATTGTCTCAGTTTGTTCGTTGTCGGCTTGAAACTTCGAACAAAATCAAGGAGCATTCTACAAATGGCAGGAGAAGCTGTGGAAAACAACTCTATTTAAGCGTATATACAGATTGTCCATAAGAGATCATTCCAGATTTTGTGATATATTATATTTCAAAGATAATTTAGTTGTTAAAGATATATTTTATAACGTGATCTACGAAAATTGAATGGAAACCTTGCAATATCTCAAAAAGTATTGATCAGTGCTTTAATTTAGTTAAATGAACGCGCTGACAAAACTGGACTCAAAAATATCATTTCAACTGTTGCAAAAATTTCCCGACATAAAAAAGATAACAATAGAAACTATTAAGAGCAGATGTGAGGTGTTGTTGGTAGAGTTTCCTTTACTATTTAGCTATTAAGCCGAGTTTCTACGGGCACTTTGAATTGCCCTAAAGTAAACATTTTTATTCGAGCGATTTGAAAACAGGCATAAGTGCCTTCGGTTCGTGTCGCTGAACGAGCATTTGAAACATTAGCAATTTGTCTTACAAGATATCCTGGCAAGTATTCCTGAGGTATATATTTGTTTAGCTTCTGAAGCAAAACAACGGATTTATAACACAAAGAGACTATCTACAATGTTAGCTTAATGGTACAGTACGATCATTCGGGATCTTCAATTTCGGCATACGAAAATGATGTTGTTGATTTCATTCTTTATTACTTTAGTTCTTAACATTTCATTAACATTCATCTATATATTCTTAACTTGTGAACACAATATAAAGGTAAACAAGGCCTATAGTACTTTTAATACACTGAACATGGCAGAATAAGTTTGCTAACACATTTTTAATATGCAGAAAGACGTGACGATTTGAGTCGATTTAGCGATTACCGCCTGTCTGCATACACTTGAACTAGTCCCTCCGTTTTTGTGATATCGATCTAAAATTATATGCACACCTTTTTTTACTCTGCCATATAAACGGACCGATTAACTTCAAGATAAGCATCTGCATAAAATATCTGTTGAAGGTTATTTATGTCAAATTTTGGGGTTAGAAAGAACTAGTCGGCTCTGCTTTCAATTTTAGTTATAGTGGTTATAAGAAATGCAACTGTGTAGGGTATTTAGCTTCGGGCAGCCGAAGTTAACATTTTTTCTGTTTATAATTAGGTTTCTGTAAGGCTGTATTATAAAAATAAAAATAAATTGTGAAGTCAGCCAATCTAGCATCACTTAGAATCCTTATCACAGCACCATTGTATGCTCAGCTTGTCAAATTGCTGCAAATTCTAATTACGAAGCCTACTTTCAAGCGTTATAACGTATTATTTACAATTTAGTTCTTTAATGACACCAAAAAGTGAAGAAACTAAGAAAAGAGCACAAAAATAAACTGCAAACAATACTTTCAACGAGCTTATGTAAATATTACTGTAAGAATAAAAATAAAATATAAAGAGAAAACCAACACTCACACACTTATTTCCCACTACTCACCGCTTTTTCACTTCTTTCTACCATTGCATACTTACAGGCACCTGCAAACAGCCGCTCGGCATGGAATCCGGTACCATCGCTGATACGCAAATTACCGCTAGCTCAGCGCACGACATGGGTAATGTAGGCCCGCAACATGCCAGGTGAGCTACAAAGGACATGAAAAGTCAATTCTTACTTCAAATTGTTAGGCGCACACATATATATATGCAAACATTTACATATGTGTGTATTGACAAAACAAAATAATAAAAGAAAGTAAGCAAAACCACTGAACCATTGTGACAGCACCAACAAGGTGAAAGCACAAAAACGCGCACACACACACATGCATTAGAAAACATATACACACATACATATTTACATATATACACACACACATTAAACGTAATTTGTGATGCGCGTCCCTACGCGTTTCCTTTCTCGCAACAGGAAGCATCATCATAGGCGCAGGAAGGCAAACAAATATTCACTTGCGCATTCCGCTGCCTTTTTGTTGTTGCAACTTGTTTGTTTGTTCTTGTGCGCCTTTGACGAATTCCTTGCCTGCATGCGAGTGTTGGTGTTTTTTGCAACAACAACAAATGGAACCACAGTAGACAAATAAGCAATTACAACAACATAAAGCGCACATAAACACACTAAACGATATGAGACAGTTGAAATTAATATGAATTATTTTATGGCATGTTCAAATGCTTTTTCATGTATATTATTTGCCCGCATTCCCCACCGTACATCGCGTGTGGCGCTCAAGCGAAATGTAAAATAAAATAACAAATAGAAAATGTCATGAGAGAAAAACAACAATAATATGCGAAATGAGAAAAAAGCAATGAAAGTTGCTTAAGTGCATGACTTCTCTACGGTTAATCATGGGTTCAAAATACAACTGTATTACAGTAACCACGCGTCATTGACTTTTCGCACAAGAACCTTTAAACATCGCTTGGAGAAAGCTTTCGATTAGTTGCTCTCGCCATTTATGTGTAAAATGCAAATACAAATCCATACTAGAACAAAGACGCAACTCTAAATTGTCACCCAATTTAGCTATCGAAACCTAGGTGAGCGGTGTAGAGCACGATCCTTTCACAATTAGTTATTCCTGTTTTATATTCTTGAGTCTTGTATAATAGCTGTCTGTAAAAGTCGGAGCAAGAATTGCCCACAGATATGCCTATATTATTTTCTTCGTGTATCCCAAAAATCCATTTAAGAGACTGATTATAGTATATAATATATCGAAAGTCTGATCTGAGGCAATATTCACTTCTTTAGTTCATTTCAGAATTTATTATTTCTGAATATTTCTTAATTTAATATGGTTTAAAAGAGATAGAATCCCTCCCTGATGCCTAACCTCAAAGAGATTCTAGGACAAATAAAAGAGTATTCTAGAAAACTAGAAAATTTTCAAAACCGGAGTCAGATACTAGAATATACTAACTACGCGTATATTAACGTGTTGTTTTTCGAAACATTATACCCTTCATGAGCTATATCACTTAACTTATGATCTCTTCTAGATCACCACGATATGCAGTTGTATAAATCTTAAATAGAATCTTAAGATGAGTCTTTGAATGATCTCACAGATTATGTGATAATTTTTCAAGAATTTCCTTTTGCATAGCTTTGCTATATCGCAAACGTAGATGAATGCTTTGTTTTAACCGAACATTTTAGTACTGAGTATATTCCTGTTTTCTACGATAATTCCATGACATCCAAGTAGTTTTACTTGCACTAAATAACAATGATTTTTATTAAAACTAATTCCTAAAAAACTTAGTTTTTGTAGGAAACAATTCTTTATGATGTGCGCATAGACCCATTTGTTTGTATTTTTTTTCGAAATAATGCTTCGCACATCAGTTTTGACTACCTTAAAGTTGTGCATATTATTCATAGTTTAGGTTTACTAATCAGACTAATAATTCGTGAAGTTACGAATGATCTCCATTGGTCAGCTAGAAACTCTAATCGTTGTGATGCCAAGAATTGCATCAAATGGATCAAAAAAAATGGAGAAAGCCTGCTGATTCTTTCACACATTTGTTAACGCAGCAAATAAAAATTCTAGACAACTCGTCTGGATCGTAGAAACGAGATTTTCGAATCTTAGTCTAGCGACAGCTTGACAGCAGAGGAGAAAGTTTCTAAATGTTTCCACTTCTATGAGACTTTCACAAAAGCTTTAGCTTCACTGCTCACTAGGATTCATCCAGTTAGAATCTATCTATGCAGTATTTCAGAGTGACGCCTCTGCTTACTCAATAAACTTTCTTCCAACAACTCAGAGTTCAAATAAGTCATTCTAAGTATGATCTGTGTCGGTCAGGCGCCAATGGTTCATATGAGTTCTATAACACCATGGAAGTTGAAGGTCATTTAAAGTTGTTCAGGATGCACTGTGAGTAGGCGACCTGCCTGACATCTCAAAAAGGCTGTGCTTTGAAATTTCTATGAACAACTCTGCTTAGGTCAACAATTATAGATTTTATCAAATATAAAAGAAGTAACGTAACTTCTAAGCTAATTTTTCCATTAAAAGACAGAGCTTAAGTGTAAACATTTTATTGGGAAATGAAATATTCAAAACCAAAAATGTAATCTATAGTTCTTTCTTTCTTATAATCATAATAATACTATGCTTGCTTCTTAAACGAGTTTTTCATTTCTTCCATCTCAACACGCATCGCGAAAATTAAACTAAAAATTCGTGCAACCCATACACATAGAATTTAAGGCGTACATCAGCATAGCTTAAATTTCGCAATCAAGCGAAAGGAGCGAAATGACACCAAAAGTCAAATGTTGACAATCGAAAGCTGGCATGTCACTAGGCTAAAAGTGAAATGACAAAGCGCGTACCGTGCAATGCCAGCCTCTACATAGCCTCGAACCTTAAACCTTTGACACATTCATTTATTTATTATGCTTTTCTCTCACTCGTTTCCTTTGCAAAAACAAGTAAAAAAAAAAAAAACGCAAACGGTATTTTATTTCCAGCTATCTTCGCATTCGTGCGTCACTTGCTAACCAGCGGCAATGCTGCGCCTTTTGTTTCTCGTTCGCATTCCACTGATTTATCGTACGCGCATAAAAGTATGCAAAAAAACAGAAATGTAAGTCAAACTGTGTAACGACGAGTGTATTTCAAAAATAAAATTGTAATTATTTAGAAAGCAGTGACATTTTTACAACATAAAATGTTAGTGCGTGTAAATCAAAAGGTCATAAAATGGTATAAGCGGCATGTTGGCAGTCGGCGTGTAGCAAAAATACTGGGGCAAGCAAAAACAAAATTACAATTGTGTGAGGCATATATGTAGTTGTCTAATGGCACCAGTTATTTGAACCGTTTAGTGGCACAGCGGGGAGCTGTTGTTGGGCTCATATGTGGTATAAATTTACAGCGAATGTGGTATATTGGGGAGGTTTATTTTTAGGCGTACAAAACAAGGTATATGGGAGACATACTTTTAGGCGCATGAGGGGCGTGTGGCCGCCTGTGGAGTAAAGAAAAGCCATTTTATTGCGTTTTATATAAAATATTGAAAATATGTAGCCGAGGTTTTCATTTAAAAAATCCGTAGTTACATTTTCAGTTCTAATACTTAAATTTTACACACAAATAAGTATGGAAGTATATCGTATTATAATTATAATAACAAGAGTTCTAAGTATAAAAAGTTCAAAATTATATTTTTAGTGCTGAAGTTTAAATTTTACTTAGAAATACGTAAGTAAAGATATTTAACTATCGTATATAGTTAGCATATCAGCAGAATTTCCGCTGTAATTCATAAAAAATATTTATGGATCTCGTACGCGATATGTTTTTTTAACAAGTTACACCTTAAAGTCACATTTTACCAAAATAAGTTCTCGAAACATTTTATAACATTTTATTTTATTAAAAATATTAAATAGAACTTCTTAATATCCCAGCACATCTCGACAGTTTTCTACATCAAGTCATCTTTATCATACCGCTGTATTTGTTACCCCCTAGCATAAACCGCCACCAACTTGGTTCCAATAAAGTATGTCAAACATATATACACACATAATTCCATCCATCAATATTATTATTGATCAAATACTAGCATACATAAGTACATATGTATATTGCTGTTAGAACTCACATGCCTAAAAATAACAACCTTTTACCTAAATACATTCAGAGATTCATACACATATGTATAGTTATATGCAAAACCAAGTATTTTATGTACCTACACACAAGCCGAAAACATAAATTCACATGTATATGCATATATATATATCATTTTGCAGATCTACATAGGTATATGATATTAACACAAACAAATATTCGCCGGCAGTTTGTCACTTATTTTTCTGTCACATCCATCAAAATGTACGCATGACTATGTACGCATGACTATGGACTTCTCGCGTTTGTCGTATTTTTTGTGCCTTTTACTTTACATTTATTCTTTCTTTTTTTGCTTTTGCTGTGATGTTCCTGCTCACATTTTCACGCTATTAGTTGTTTTTCTGAATTCTCTAATGAATGGGGCAATCGGTGACCTTTTTGTCCTGTATAGAAAGTTGTTTCGCTTTCCCTGAGCAATACACCACATATGCTTTGCTTTTGTACATGTACTCGTATGTACACATTATATGTATACAGCTGAGTATATTCGCGTATTTTATAGCCTAATTCATACAGCTGTACATATGTACATATACACAATCATACCAAGTATAGGTGTGTATATTGTATAAGTAGGCGGAAGGCATGTTACGTATACGCCTTGTACTACAAATGGCTTTGCAAGTTCAGAAAAATGTTCGAAACGAAATGATTGAAATGTGAAAATGTTTTAAGCGTTTAAAGTAATAGTCATACAATTTCCAAAATTTTTAATTTACGAGTAAATGATATTATGCATTTCTTATGAAGAACTCATGTGCCTTTAAGCTGATGAATTGAATACCTCAGCTTGATGTAAGCTTGTTTTATTGTTGACAAGTAACACTAATTTACAAAATTGTAACTTTTTGTTGTCGCATGAAAAATCATTATTATTATCATCATTATTACACATTAGGGTGGAGCCAAAAAAAAAATTTTTTGCTTAGCCTGGGGGTATAATCTGTAGATTATCCT